TATCTTGTTTCCTGGTTCTCACAAGCCAAGGAGTTCGATCTCAAGTTTATTTTCACATTGTATTTCCTTACGTTTTTGGAAAGGATTATTGGGCTTAAGTGGCATTTTGTGGGTTTGCCAAGTGTAGAAAACATCACTAATGCACTAAATTGGCTCTAGCTCACGATTTGATGTTGGGCAATTAGACTTTATAACTGTGTAACCCTGAATTTATAAATTGAATTCTACACATATTCACTGCCAAACATAATTCAGTAGAACCTTGATGAACCGAAAATTACACTAGCCTACATAACTTCATTACCCCAAGTAAAATACCAAGATAATCTTTATACTGTAATTGTATTTGAATCGTATAATCTTAGTTTGTTAAAAATGGATTGTATGTTCAACAATAATTGCAGTCCATTATTGTTAAGCAGTATGGTCCCAAATTATTGTTTTTGATTTTGAAACATCACAGTTCATTTGACAAAATTATAATTGCAGCAGCCCAATGTCAAGTCACCCGCGCTTGTGCAATAGTTTGTTTACAAGCTTTCTCCAGACCACGGGGGAGGGGAGGGTCTGATAAGCAGATAAGCCGTCTATTGTTCACCCCCAAGAAGGTCCGACCCTCATTAGTGCCGCTCGGCTGCACTCAGTGGGGAACCCAATACCACAAATCAATCTTTTTAATAAATACAAATATTTGGTAATAATTGTTTTATTAATATTCACCTTCAAATTTAAATAAATTTGAAGTAAAATTTAACAAAAATCGGCCATTTGGACCGATTATTAATACAGGACCAAATACCAATAAAGTAGTACATTCATTGGTAATTAAATAATAGGTAAACATTTACCGATTTTCGTCAAGTTTTACCCCCTGCTGTGCGCTATGTCACAAAAGCTGATAACGACATGGGTGATTAGTAACCATGGCAACTTGTTGAATGCGTGATAAGGGAAACCCAAGAAATAGAAGAACAAAGAGAAAGAATAACGACGTTGTTATCTTTATACCCTTTTTACAATTTCCTTATTTTTTGTTATCTTTATGTAAGATTTTATGATTTTGTTTTATGGGTTTATAAAATAATTCTTTTTAACTACGGGAATATCAATTTATAATTTATCAACATGCTTCTCTTCTGAAACAGCAATACCGGATGCATAATAAAGGTCAATGACCTAAAATATCACGATTGTGCAATATTGTATTTTGATGTTGAAATTAAAATCACGACAAAAGTTTGTATATATCCATGGTCCCTATCGTTTAATCATTTAATATGTACACAATAAATGCTAAATAATCGTGGTTAGTTCTGACTTTAATTTTTATTATTCAAAGTTTCTACACAGTATGACAATCCAAAGTCAAACCGGGCAATGAATACCCAAAAAACAACGTATCTTGTTCTGTGATTGGAATACCACATATAACTGGACATCTTCACAACTGAAAAAATCTTCCAGTTTATAAAAGGGGTGTCCCAACAACCATAAGTAAAGCTTATTTTTAAATTCTTTTAATGGCCTATTTGCAATTAGCTTTTGAAAAACATTGTATATTTTTATAGATAAAATTATGTGGCTACTTGAGGTTGTATTTAAATGATGTGTTTCTAAAGCAGCATTATTTTTGTTTCGTGTATTATATATAGCTTCAAGGTCTTACCCACCCCTTCCCCCTCCGGTCCTTCTTGACTCACTACCCGCACTCCTTTCGAGGTCATTGCCCAACCCCTCCCACCCTTCTATTGTGTTGCCTTTCTATTGTTTCTATTCTGACTTTTTTTCGGGAAACATTTAATCTATTGTTTACGTAACATCACAGTAGTAGGCTAGATTTTTCTACTTTGAAACTTTCATTTGACTATGGTAGTTCTTTTCTGCTTTATGTCTGTTCGTTCCAGACGACTCTAATCGTAAAGCAAAACAGCCGATAACGACTAAACTAGTTATCGGTATTGCATCATACGGCTTCTTGCCGTTTGCTGTTAGGTCGTTGGAAACGTATTGCTGTAATTTTGTCCTGGGAAACTAATGGTGGTTATGGAGATTAAGTTTTCTGTCAAAAACGTCAAAATATATTGTCTATCCGAAAAAGTCGGATATATAACGGATAGTGTCGGATATCGAATTTGGGCTCGGTTCGGATACGGATATCCGAACCGAACCGAATCCGACCCGATTTTTCGGATATCCGCACACCTCTAGTTCGGATATCCGTATCCGAACCGAGCCCAAATTCGATATCCGACACTATCCGTTATATATCCGACTTTTTCGGATAGACAATATATTTTGACGTTTTGGACAGAAAACCTCCATAACCACCATTAGTTTCCCAGGACAAAATTGCAGCAATACGTTTCCAACGACCTAACAGCAAACGGCAAAGAAGCCGTATGATGCAATACTGATAACTAGTTTAGTCGTTATCGGCTGTTTCGCTTTACGATTAGATTCGTCTGGAACGAACAGACACAAAGCAGAAAAGAACTACCATGGTCAAATGAAAGTCAACTCGTGCTTGTCTTGCTCCTGATACTAGGGGCGCTGCGTAATAGTTTTTTACAGTACTGTTTCAAAGTAGAAAAATCTAGCCTACTACTGCGATGTTACGTAAACAATAGATTAAATGTTTCCCGGAAAAAAGTCAGAATAGAAACAATAGAAAGGCAACACAATAGGTGGGAGGGGTTGGGCAATGACCTCGAAAGGAGCGCGGGTAGTGAGTCAAGTAGGACCGGAGGGGGAAGGGGTGGGTAAGACCTTGAAGCTATATATAGACTTGCACTACTTCCCTAAACCGAAAGGACTGGCCGGAGAGTGGTATTCCAATGACAGGACAAGATACGTTGTTTTTTGGGTATTCATTGCCCGGTTTGACTTTGGATTGTCTTACTGTGTAGAAACTTTGAATAATAAAAAATAAAGTTAGAACTAACCACGATTATTTAGCATTTATTGTGTACATATTAAATGATTAAACGATAGGGACCATGGATATATACAAACTTTTGTCGTGATTTTAATTTCAACATCAAAATACAATATTGCACAATCGTGATATTTTAGGTCATTGACCTTTAATATGCATCCGGTATTGCTGTTTCAGAAGAGAAGCACGTTGATAAATTATAAATTGATATTCCCGTAGTTAAAAAGAATTATTTTATAAACCTATAAAACAAAATCATAAAATCTTACATAAAGATAACAAAAAATAACGGAAATTGTAAAAAGGGAATAAAGATAACAACGTCATTATTCTTTCTCTTTGTTCTTCTATTTCTTGGGTTTCCCTTATCACGCATTCAACGTCGTTATCAGCTTTTATGACATAGCGCACAGCAGGGGGTAAAACTTGACGAAAATCGGTAAATTTTTACCTATTATTTAATTACCAATGAATGTACTACTTTATTGGTATTTGGTACTGTATTAATAATCGGTCCAAATGGCCGATTTTTGTCAAATTTTACATCAACTTTATTTAAATTTCAAGGTGAATATTAATAAAACAATTATTACGGTGTAAACGCGGCTTTAAAAGATTGATTTGTGGTATTGGGTTCCCCACTGAGTGCAGCCGAGCGGCACTAATGAGGGTCGGACCTTCTTGGGGGTGAACAATAGACGGCTTATCAGACCCTCCCCTCCCCTCCCCCGTGGTCTGGAGAAAGCTTGTAAACAAACTATTGCACAAGCGCGGGTGACTTGACATTGGGCTGCTTCAATTATAATTTTGTCAAATGAACTGTGATGTTTCAAAATCAAAAACAATAATTTGGGACCATACTGCTTAACAATAATGGACTGGAATTATTGTTGAACATACAATCCATTTTTAACAAACTAAGATTATACGATTCAAATACAATTATAAAGATTATCTTGGTATTTTACTTGGGGTAATGAAGTTATGTCTAGGCTAGTGTAATTCACGGTTCATCAAGATTCTACTGAATTATGTTTGGCAGTGAATATGTGTAGAATGCAATTTATAAATTCAGGGATACACACCTTTTACACAGTTATAAAGTCTAATTGCCCAACATCAAATCGTGAGCTAGAGCCAATTTAGTGCATTAGTGATTCTACACTTGGCAAACCCACAAAATGCCACTTAAGCCCAATAATCCGTTCCAAAAACGTAAGGAAATACAATGTGAAAATAAACTTGAGATCGAACTCCTTGGCTTGTGAGAACCAGGAAACAAGATCAGCTTTACATTGTTTTGAAGGTTAAAAATACATATGCAGCTTATTATTAACTGCGCCGAACTATCAGAATCCGAAAATATCCGAATCCGAACCTCCCAATATCCGATCCGAACCGAGCCTCAACTATCCGATCCGAATCCGATCCGAAATGAAATTTCACTATCCGCACACCTCTAGACAAATATGTTTGTAGGCCTCTTTTCGTTATGAATCGAATGATACCGTTATGATGATGATGAGTCATTACTTCGCCCTCCAAGTCCCTTCCAAGTAGACCAAGATCAGGTCGTTGACCGGAGCGTGCGCATCACCTGTCACCGCCTGTATCTCAGGTATCGTTACTCATCTGGTATCGTTAGATTCATAATGAAACGAGGAAAGTCCTACAAACATATTTATGATAACCCAACCTAACATAACTGCCGCAGCGCGCTGTATACCTACTTGGCGGAGACAATATCTGTGGCAGCGACGCATTCAATTCAATCCTCACCGACAATGCTGCCTTCTAGGAAGCAGAACTTAAAAGCCGCTAATTGTAATCATGTCAAATTTGGACAGTAAGTTAATTAAAGTATGTTCTTTCCAATTATATTAGTTATTTTTGGTCGAGGGAAAATAATCCCTCTAAAACAAGTGGCCTCCGGATAGTACCAAAGTACCAAAATATATTTTGTCATATAATAATACTATATTTCACTGAAAAATTAATTTACTTATTACTGTTATGTTTTGAAATCTTCTTTGGACAGATGAATTACCAAACAAACCATACTTACTCTGGGTCGATTTTCCTTTGCATTTGATCTTCTTTGCTGAGAATTTCATACAAAGTTTCAATTTGATGAAGACCAGGCAAGAAAATTAACACGGCTCCCTTCTTTTCATTGCTTCTCCTGGATTTATAATCTTCCATGTCAATATTGTTAAAACCTCTGATCAACAATGGAACAAACTTGTATGCCTCCTCACTAATTGTTGGTTCATCAAACTTGATGTTTGCAAGCTACAATAAACAAATGCAACTTTTAGGACAATACATTGAAAAATATTAGGCTATTAAAATGTAAGAGTATGAGACAAATTTTACCTTACAAATTAAGTCACATGTACATGAAAGTTTTTCTATATAAAAAACTTTTATTTCATCCCTGGCACCTAAGTTCATCAAAATCCAGCGACTTTCCAATGATTATAGGCTACTAGTTACACTTTCCTTGCTGATTCATGAATATTTGCACATGTACGTGAGTGGAAGGGGGTGCCGATGTGTGCAATGTCAGAAATAAAGGACAGCACCTTGCTACAATATCTGCCATGTCCCTAAATGAAAGGTGAAAGCCCCCAAAACTTGAAATATGTAACCTTGACTGTCATTTGGGCCAACGATCAACATTTTTTAGAAAAATAACCCAACATTAAAAATTGTAGTGAAAAATCATTACTTAAGACAAAAATATTAGTTTTAATTTGCCAGTCATAACCAAGTCTTACTTCGTTCATCTTTATTATTTCTTCTTTAAATGGCATCTGCTTAAATATTTCCTTATAGAACGTGATAAAATTATACTGATTTAAAAAAATTATTCCTTTAGTGGGTCTTTTATCTTTATCTGTCATTTATCCAAAATAATAAAATAATTCTTATATAAAAGATAAGTCTTTGAATTAGTCTTCATTCCAATAGGCTTGGTGTAAGCTTCATTTCAAATTTGGAAGGTGTAAGGCGGGATAAACTTAAAGAGTGGCTTAACAGAACAGCACCAACCAATGTCAATTTATTGGAAAAACTTAGATTGTATCCCAAAGATTGGAAAAATTATTTACTTACTCTTTAAAAAATTAATTAATTATTACTCTATCTACACTAGGCAATGTCACTGAACAATACAAAACACTCGATATGTGGCACAACACAAAGACTGAGCAGAAGATAAAGTTAGGTTATGACAATGACCGTGCCTAACCTCAAAATGAACATGAATCAAAATAATGCTACTACTGTTGGCCTTCTTCGGCCTGCCGGCGACCACATACACGTACCGATCGGCCGGCCGGCGTGGACTGTTCAGGCCGGGCTTACAGTTTCAAGGACAAGAAAAAGATGAATATACCATCACCAGTATATTCATCTTTTCTTGTGTTCTTTTTCACATGCATTTGCAGATGTGGAATGTTTATTAATATTCTCCACCCATGTACTATATTATATCGATACTATTATGCCTACTTCGGAAAGTCCTAGGGGAAGCTGATTTGCATTTTCAACTACATCTTGAGTAAACAAAACCACATGCCCCTTACACCACTTTTAGCTGAACCAACCTTTCATATACATATTTTCCAAAGGTACTATCTGTGATAACAACCAATTTTCTACTTTTGAGAGATTTTTAGTGCTGGTGGCTGAGGAATAACTTTCATATTGTTCCAAAAGGCTTGAGACATTACTGTATTTCTTTTTATAATGTAGAAGTACACCGATTGCAGAAAACGATGATGTCTGGCATTTCAATGTCTCTAGGAAAGACATTTAGTTTTTCATTGGGCCTAATGTAATGGACAACTCTTTGTTTTTTAAGGAAAATCTAAAAATGTTAATTTTTATAATTATACCCATTGATTAACTTATGTAACCTGAACAGGTGATTAAAGCAGTTTTAAAATAATGATTGTTCTGTGGCACTTTTGATTGTTTCAAACAGTTTTGCTTATCAAAAAACCACAAGTAATCAATATATAACAAATTATACAGTCACTAAAAATCATCAAATAATTTATTTTTGTAAAAAATTACAACCAACTTTAAACGCTCTAAAAAGAATTAAATAATTTCAATAAAGTAAACTTTTGTATTAGTCAAGTACACATATTTCAAGGTGCGGCTCTAATTGCAAATATGAATAAAATAAAAGATTGAGAGTGTATTTTGATTTCAATAAATTGTAGCTGGATAACATAAACATATAAAAAACTAAGGGTGTGCGAAGCAGCAAACAATTTTCGATTCGAAGCAACAATTCGGTTCAAAAGATTTTTCAATTTGATTCGATGCAACTCGATTTGAAGCAATACAGCATTTTTCTATTCATACTTGTCAATGGAGTGAATTATACCTTCCGCAAAGATTCGTGGCGGCTGAGGGATTAGGACTGTTGGGGGTGGTGTCCCAGCCCCTAAATTAGCCCTCGCTCGGCTGCTCTGGGGTTTGACCATGAGTCACCCACTAGGCTCAATACATAGTTGGTAAAATGTTTGTATACCACCATAATGTGTAATAAATAATGTCATTTTTGTAACCTGCATCAAATAACAAGAACATTGAGCCCAAACACGAAATAATTGTGATGATATTAAGCATACCACGACAAGAAAACTGTTTATTATGTTAAAACCAAATGTATACTTAATATCGTCGCAATTATTTCGTATTTGGGCTCAATGTTCTTGTTATTTGACGCAGGTTACACAACTGGCGTTATTTAATACACTTAATGGTGATATACAAAAAGTTTTCCAACTATGCATTCAGCCTAGTGGGTGACTCATAGTCAAAACCCAGAGCAGCCGAGCGAGGGCTAATTTAGGGCTGGGACACCACCCGACCGTCCTAATCCCTCAGCCGCCACGAATCTTTGTGGAAGGTATAACAATAGGCCTATTTAAAATTTACCACATTTGTGTAAAGCAAATTTTAGTTGATGTGGTATTAGGCCTATTCATACATGACAAAGGCATGAAAAATTTAGTAAATATGTCGATGACAATCAGGATGTATATAACGTTTCCTATGCTTGTAGGTAGCGGTCCAATAATAATATCAACTGCAATTTGGTTGTTTTTCTGTATACATGATACTCCATGTGCAGTTCCAAATAGAGGTGAAGTATTGATTTTGCATCTTTGACATGTATCACAAGAGGCAAGGGTTTTTCGAATTGTACGACTCATGTTCTTGAATATGAAACTTTCTTTTAGCAATTGAAAACATTTCTTTGACCCACAATGCATATAATAGAGATGGCATTCCCAAATTAAGCGGTTGATCATACATTGGGGTACTACGATAAGCCAATTGTTTCTTAATTTTTGGTATAGAATATTGTTGTATAATTTGAAATTCTGTGAGAGTCTTTGTGATTCTGGAGAGGTTGGATGTTCTTGCAGAGTTTGGTAAATGTTTTGGAGTACTGGATCAGATGATTGAAGAGCTGGCAGATTCCTGAGGTCTTGCTTCAATTCTTTGTCTGGGATCTGTTTAAGGTAATTCAATTCTAATTCTCGAGGAGAGGCATTGGAGTTTTGCTGTGAGTCATCATTTATGCGGCTAAGTGCATCTGCTGTTGCATTTTCCATGCCTTTACATTGTTGTATTGTTGCATTATATTCCTGTATAGCTAAAGTCCATCGTGCTAGTCGGTTATTTAACAATTTACAGGTCCGTAAGAAGGTGAGTATATGATTATCTGTAATTATAGTTAATTTTGAACCAAGTACGATATATCAGACTTTTTGTAAGCAGTATACAATGGCGAGAAGTTCTTTTTCGGTTGTTGTAAACCGTTGCTCTGCAGGTTGTAGTGTGCGTGAAATGAAGGCGATAGCTGCCTTTTCTCTATTAGGTTTTAACTGGTAGAGATGTCCTCCAATGGCGAAGTCGGAAGCGTCTGTTTGAAGGTAGTATGCTTGTGTTGGATTTGGATGATGTAGCACATTAGTTTTTAGGAATAATTGTTGAATGTTCATGAAGGTAGGCCTAACTTCATCATTTTCTGTCCATACGAATTTCACTTTCTTTGATGTGAGCCGCATCAGAGGTTGTACTGTAGAGGAGAATCTTTCTAAGAATTTACTATAGTAATTGATTAGTCCTAAAAATGCCTTCAATTGAGTACGGTTCTTAGGACTTGGGAAGTTTAGTATTGGTTCCATCTTGCTTTTATCCATCTCCAAACCTTCATTGGTCAATGTATAACCGAAAAAAGGGACTGAGTTTTGACAAAATTGTGACTTGTCAAACTTGAGCGTCATGTTTGCATCGGAAAACTTTTGAAAAATATATTTTAAATGCCTGAGATGTGATTGGAAATCCGGAGATATAACGCATATATCGTCAACGTAGATTGCAGTAAACTCTTCTACTTCGTTATCAAACACTTTATCTAGAGCTCGGACGAGTGCGGCTTGAGATGTAGATATGCCAAATGGTGTGACCTTGAAATGATTTGTACGACCTTTGAATTGGAACGCTGTATATTGACGGGACTCTGGAGTGAGAGGAACTTGCCAATAAGATGATGTTAAATCCAAGCTGCTGATAAATTTCGAATTTCGGCATTTGCTTAATATCTCGTTGATACTTTGATTACACTTATAATCAGGGACAATGATCTCGTTTGCTCTTCGTGCATCTAGGCACAATCGTATTTCACCTGACTTTTTGACAACAGGTGTATGATGGGGTTTATATAGGTACTTTTGCTACGTTCAATAACGCCCATGTTTTCCATACGTTGTATCTCTTGGAAAACTGCATCTTAAAAGGCTAGCGGTACTGAATATGACATTTGTTTGAACCTAGTTTGGTCATAAACTTTTAATTCATTCTCATAAAATCTTCAAATTCCTGGTGTTTCAGAGAAAATATGTTTGTATTTGAGAATCAGGTTACCTAACTCGGCTCGTTGTGTATCACTCAATAATTTATTATCTTTTAAAGATTCTTTAACTTGGAATTCAGTTATACTGTCCATCAATTGATTATTATTATTGTTTGGTTGGTGCTCGTTATGAAAATCTTTGCTGTGTATATTTTTGTTGTTGTAACTGCCCTTAATATCGGGATCTGGCCTTTGGCTGTAATTATCAACAATGAAACAAGTGATTCCTTCAGGAAAAACTCGATCAAACTTCATTACAATATCTTGGTTATTTATATTCATTTTGATATTATTATTAACAAAGTTCACCTTCGCCTTCATGCTTTCTAAGCTATCACATCCTAAA